ATACCTCGTCCAGCAGCGGTGGGGCGACTCCCTACAGGGTCCCCAGCCGCCCCTGGCCGCCCCTCCCAGCCGCCCCTGGCCGCCCGTGGCCACCACCAACAACCTGGTGGAATGAGTCAGCAGGGAACACGCGACCAGCTGCAGACGAGGACAGTGTTAGCGTGAAGGGTGAGGGGGAGCGGGGAGAGGTAGGGGTGAGAGGTGAGGGGTGAGGGGAGGGGAAGGGGTAGGGGAGGGGGGAGAGGTAGGGGAGGGGGTGGTGGAGGAAGTGTACATCATTAAGAGTCGAGAGATAGAACTGATAACCGTCGCATATTTCTTCTTACGGGATCGACCAATCCCTTGTGTGGCCACGTCTGTGGTAGAAAAAAAAATCCCTTGAAAATGTGACGTATTGGTAAATATTAAAGCACTGTAATAGTGACGTCTTATAGATGAGAGAGAGAGAGAGAGAGAGAGAGAGAGAGAGAGAGAGAGAGAGAGAGAGAGAGAGAGAGAGAGAGAGAGAGAGAGAGAGAGAGAGAGAGAGACGGTATTTGTGAGATAAATCAGTGCTATCTACCCACACTGTCTCTCACCGTCTGGTGAGACAGGCGAGGAAGACGGTGCTCACCACCAACCCGTACTGAGCACGCCCACGTGGCAGGAGCTGTGTTCTCAAGTGTGTCTTACCAAGATTGTTCTTCACAACGTAATTACCTAAGTGTAGTTACAGGATGAGAGCTACGCTCGTGGTGTCCCGTCTTCCCAACACTCTGTCATATAACGCTTTGAAACTACTGACGGTCTTGGCCTCCACCACCTTCTCACCTAACTTGTTCCAACCGTCTACCACTCTGTTGGCGAAAGTGAATTTTCTTATATTTCTTCGGCATCTGTGTTTAGTTAGTTTATATCTATGACCTCTTGTTCTTAAAGTTCCAGGTCTCAGGAAATCTTCCCTATCGATTTTATCAATTCCTGTTACTATTTTGTATGTAGTGATCTTGTGTTCTTGTAGGTGCTAATAATGACAAGCCACACACGGGCTTCCAAAGCCAATCTCTTCTTAAAGTTCTTCCTGATTGCTCTCTGAAAAAAACCACTTGGCAAATGCCTTTTTCCTGACGCTCGTATCCAACTCTGTTTTTCAATATAAAAGCAAATAAAAACCCACCTTTGAGCCACCTTCCCATCTTCTTCCTCCCAAAAAATATAAATAGCATATTCTCTCAACCTTTTCCGACAATGCGCTCCAAAAAAAAAAAAAAAGCCAAACAAAACACAATCTCCCAACAAAAGCACACACACAGAACAAATCATTTTCCCAAAAATCAACCCCCCCCCTCTCTATGTCCTCTCTCTCTCTCTCTCTGTCTCTCTCTCCTCGCTCTCTCTCTCTCTCTTCCTCTCTCTCTCCCATCTCTCTCTCCTCCTCTCTCTCTCTCTCTCCTCTCTCTCTCTCTCTCTCTCTCTCTCTCTCCTCTCTCTCTCTCCTCTCTTCTCCCCCCTCTTCTCTCCTCTCTCTCTCCTCTCTCTCTCTCCTCTCTCTCTCCCTCTCTCTCTCTCTCTCTATCTCTCTCTCCCTCTCTCTCTCCCCCCTCTCCTCTCTCTCTCTCTCTCTCTCTCTCTCTCTCTCTCTCTCTCTCCTCTCTCGCTCTCTCTCTCTCTCTCTCTCTCAGTCCTCTTCATATGGTTCCCCGGCACCCTGCAACAGTCCCGGCCTCTCTGCTCGCAATAATCTCCCAAAGTTTACAGTCACAAATGGCAAGCGCCACCTCTGAAGGACTCTGTATCTTGAGAGTCTTCCCGTGAGAGAGAGAGTCCTGGAGGACCACTTGAAGGATAAGAGGCAGGATTATCTCGTCTCATCCTAAAAAAAAGCCAAACAAAACACAATCTCCCAACAAAAGCACACACACAGAACAAATCATTTTCCCAAAAATCAACCCCCCCCCTTCTCTCTCTCTGTCTCTCTCCTCTCTCTCTCTCTCTCTCTCTCTCTCTCTCTCTCTCTCTCTCTCTCTCTCTCTCTCTCTCTCTCTCTCTCTCTCTCTTTCTCTCTTTCCTCTCTCTCTCCCCCCCCCTCTCTCTCTCTCTCTCTCTCTCTCTCTCTCCTCTCTCTCTCTCTTCTCTCTCTCTCTCTCTCTCCCCCCCCCCCCCCTCTATCTCTCTCTCTCTCTCTTCTCTCTCTCTCTCTCTCTCTCTGCAGTCCTCTTTCATATTGGTTCCCCGGCACCCTGCAACAGTCCCGCCTCTCTGCTCGCAATAATCTCCCAAAGTTTACAGTCACAAATGGCAAGCGCCACCTCTGAAGGACTCTGTATCTTGAGAGTCTTCCCGTGAGAGAGAGAGTCCTGGAGGACCACTTGAAGGATAAGAGGCAGGATTATCCTCGTCTCATCCTCCGCGTCGCCAACTCCAGCCTCTCTGTTGACCTCAAAAGCCGTTTAGAGCATTTGTAAGATTTCGTGTGTGTGTGTGTGTGTGTGTGGTGTGTGTGTGTGTGTGTGTGTGTGTGTGTGTGTGTGTGTGTGTGTGTGTGTGTGTGTGTGTTGTGCGTGTGTGTGTGTGTGCGTGGTGCGTGTGCGTGTGCGTGTGTGCGTGTGCGTGTGTGTGTGTGTGTGTGTGTGTGCGTGTGTGTGTGTGTGTGTGTACTCACCTAGTTGTGCTTGACCTTTGGCTCTTTGATCCCGCCTCTCAACTGTCAATCAACTGGTGTACAGATTCCTGAGCCTATTGGGCTCTATCATATCTACATTTGAAACTGTGTATGGAGTCAGCCTCCACCACATCACTTCCTAGTGCATTCCATTTACTAACCACTCTGACACTGAAAAAGTTCTTTCTAATGTCTCTGTGGCTCATTTGGGTACTCGGCTTCCACCTGTGTCTCCTTGTTCGTATACCATCCGCGCTGAAGAGTTTGTCTTTGTCCACCCTGTCAATTCCCCTTATCTCTACCTCTGGTTAGAGACCGGGCCGCGGGGACGTTGATCCCCGGAATCAACACACCCAGCTGGGGGCACCTGAGGGGCGCCTGACAGCTGAGAGGACAGTGCTTCGGATTCGTAGTACCGAGGTTCCGAGTCCGATCCCCGGTGGAGGCGGAGACAAATGGGCAAAAATGTTTCTTTCACCCTGATGCCCCTGTTCACCTAGCAGTAAATAGGTACCTGGGAGTTAGACAGCTGCTATGGGCTGCTTCCTGGGGGTTGTGTAACAAAAAGACCGGGCCGCGTGGACGCTAAGCCCCCGAAATCATCTCAAGATAACCTCAAGATAGCCAATCCTCATAAACAAAGGCCTGAAGTGAGTCCTCCCAAGGTTCCCCAATGTCAAGAATACGGTCAATGTAAAGTGCCCTTATCCTAACCTACCAGAGGACCCAAAACAGAAAACGGGACTAATCATTGGAAAAGTTTGACTCACTCGTTATCTTCCTTCTAGGGCATTACACAAAATCAACAGTATAACAGTTGTACTTTTTTGGTATACGAAAACCCATAATATATATATATATATATATATATATATATATATATATATATATATATATATATATATATATATATATATATATATTGGTGTATACTGGCAGCAGGTTTTCTTTCAAACATGTATTAACATGTATTAACATTAACATTATAACATATTAACATTATTTAACATGTATTAACATGTATTAACATTAACATCAACTAGTATTGTAAGATCTGTTCACTTGAGAATGAACCATGGGGGTTCGAAACGTCGTGCAAATTATACAAATAAGTGTAATACACTCTATAAGTGTAATACACTCTATAGTAAATCACTTCTTTTCTTCACCTTAAAAGTACGAAATGAGTTTTGGAGAACTCCTATTTCAATTAAGCCCTGATGCTAAGAAAATAGTTAGAGGGATAGAAGCCCTAAACCAGAAAATAATAAATACAGAATATGCGGTCATATTCAATGAAATATATATATATATTATATATTATATATATATATATATATATATATATATATATATATATATATATATATATAATATATACATATATACTATATATATATGTCGTACCTAGTAGCCAGAACTCACTTTTGGCCTACTATTCAAGGCCCGATTTGCCTTTTCATGAATTAATTGTTTTTTCGACTACCTAACCTACCTAACCTAACCTAACCTAACTTTTTCGGCTACCTAAACAAACCTAACCTATAAAGATAGGTTAGGTTAGGTTAGGTAGGGTTGGTTAGGTTCGGTCATATATCTACGTTAATTTTAACTCCAATAAAAAAAAAATTGACCTCATACATAATGAAATGGGTAGCTTTATCATTTCATAAGAAAAAAATTTGAAAAAATATATTAATTCAGGAAAACTTGGCTTATTAGGCAAATCGGGCCTTGAATAGTAGGCTGAGAAGTGAGTTCTGGCTACTAGGTACGACATATATATATATATATATATATATATATATACATATACATATATATATATATATATATATATATATATATATATATATATATATATATATATATATATATATATATATATTTTTATAGGGAAGGGAGTACCACCTCTGGCTGGAAGAAGGGGGACCCATAGCCTCGGAGGAAACCACACATAACGCATTGGAGGGAATGTAGGTCTCCTCCAATACAGTTTCTGTGTGCTTTTCTCCAACCACCCCCTTCCTTTTTTTTTTTTTCCTTTATTGTGTATTTAAAGGTTACAAAACATACAAGACAAATGCCTAAAGGTTATGGATCTCTTGAAGCTCCTCCGCTATATATATATATATATATATATATATATATATATATATATATATATATATATATATATATATATATATATATATATATATATATATATATATATATATATATATATTTATTTATTATTTCGAATCATTAATGTTATTGTAGGATCATTAACTACCGGAACTTATATCTACGATATATAAGTCTTATATCAAGAGAGTCACAAAGTCTTGACAGTGTCTGGTTCCTTCCCCCCCTACAGGAGATCCCGGGAGCCAGCCAGCACCGGGAGGCGGAGAAGGCGGGGTACCTGACCAAGCTGAGCGGGCGTAGCTTCCCCTACATCCCGCAGTGGAAGCGGCGGTACTGCGTCCTGGCCAAGGGCAGACTCTACTACTACGAGCGCGAGGACAGCAAGTCGGGAGAGAAGGCCAACGGTGTCATCAACCTCGAGTACTTCGACCACGTCGCCGAGGCCGCGCCGAAGGACTGCAAGAAAGCCACTAATGTCTTCGTCATCACCTCGCAGGACCGAAGCTTCTTCGATCCGGTGAGTACAGGCGCTGCTACGTCTTGGGGAGGGAGAGGGGGAGGGAGGGTACATGTACAAGAGGTACCTGGCTCAGGTACAAGAGGTACCTGGCTCAGGTACAAGAGGTACCTGGCTCAGGTACAAGAGGTACCTGGCTCAGGTACAAGAGGTACCTGGCTCAGGTACAAGAAGTACCTGGCTCAGGTACAAGAGGTACCTGGCTCAGGTACAAGAGGTACCCGAGTGTCTCAACTGACATCTGATCCCTGGAACCACAAATCGAAACTGTCTATTTTCCGCTTGTTACAACTTGTAATAAAGTTGTTACATCTTGGCTTAGCGTGTTTATGACGTATTAGAACGTTGTTACAACTTGCTATATTGGTTGTTATAACTGGTTAGGTGGTGTTAAAACTTGTTCGAACGTTGTACCAACGTCGTAGTTTCGGTGTGTGTTTGGCGGGATGCTGGAATGACCGGACTCGAGTAGCCATAATTACCTCGTCAAGACAGCAGTAGTCTCGCCACACCTTCAATACACTAAACAATTATATATCCCTAATGAACGATAACATTCAAGACAAAAAATGTGAACACACTGTGTTCAGGCGATGAGTCGAAATAACGTGGCTAAAGTATGATGACCGTCGTCCCTTCACCTTCTAGTGTGTGTGGTCTGGTCAACATACAGTGTGTTTAAACCATAAAGACTAAGAAAGAGAACAATAGAACCGACCTTCGTTTATGCCAATGGGTGCCGACTTTAAGACCGAATTTGGTATTACAACGATAACAAAGTATTGCATTTACCCCAACTAGAAGAAGAAACCACACACATGTGGGAGCCTTAGCCTACAGTTAGTTTCTAGTTTAGTTCATTTATTATGCACCCCATACCCATCTTGTGGGCGGTAGTGGAAAGGGTTACAGAGGCACATAATGGGCTCAGGGACTGAACCACACAATTCATTTGGAGGCCTGGTCGACGACCGGGCCGCGGAGACGCTAAGCCCCGGAAGCACCTCAAGGTAACCTCAAGGTAGCTAAGCAAGTTACAATCTTGATGAAATAGTTAGAAAATTCAATTTAAGTCGTCACATCAACAATGGGTTCGAGATCGACCTCAAGTACAGGCTCTAAATTAAGCAACTGACATATATGGAGAGGTAGTGTCACAATTGATATGTTTGTCCTGCACACCGCCCCCCCATCCAGTGGGCAGCGGTGGATTACAGAGTCCAAGAACCACCACTCCTGTAATCACACAAGTTACAGAATATTTCCCGCTGTAGGGATCAAAATGATCAAACTATTAGTTATCAAAGAGTATGTATACATATTTTTTCAGTCACCCGGTCACCTGGTCACTTTAATCACCTGGAGCCGGTCGCCCGAGCGGACAGCACGCTGGACTTGTGATCCTGTGGTCCCGGGTTCGATCCCGGGCGCCGGCGAGAAACAATGGGCAGAGTTTCTTTCACCCAATGGGCAGAGTTTCTTTCACCCTATGCCCCTGTTACCTAGCAGTAAAATAGGTACCTGGGTGTTAGTCAGCTGTCACGGGCTGCTTCCTGGGGGTGGAGGCCTGGTCGAAGACCGGGCCGCGGGGACACTAAAGCCCCGAAATCATCTCAAGATAACCTCAAGATAACCCCCTAACATTAATATGCCCCGGAGCGCCAACAGAGCCACAGGTAACACAGCCACAGGTAACACCTGTGGCTGTGTTACCTGTGGCTGTGTTGGAACACAGGTAACACCTGTGTTCCTCCTATTTGTGCCTGCAGGGTCGGGCTGTTAGCTCTTGGACCCCGCCTTTCTAACCGTTGGTTGTCTAATGTACTGACTTCCGACCTGTTTGTTTTGGGAGTCTTGCCACTTCTCCTGAACTCACTCTCTCTCTTTCTCTCTGCCTCACACACACACACACACACACACACACACACACACACACACACACACACACACACACACACACACACACACACACACACACACACACACAAGGCTCGGGGGGGCCATGAAGTGTTCTCCGCCGTGAATGAGGCCGGGAGAGGCTGTGTGGTCTCAGGTGCCCCTCGCAGCCCTGACACACTCCTGCTCTTTGATGTTAATTGCTTCTTAATATGATGGGTGAGGAGTGGGTGGAGGTGGTGGCTTACATGTTATGAACAATGGGGCAGGTGGTGGGCTACATTTATTTTTCGGATTTGTGGATCTATTGGATTTGATTATACTGAACCTGTGTGCCGTTCCACTTATATATATATATATATATATATATATATATATATATATATATATATATATATATATATATATATATATATATATATATATATATATATATACACACTGTAGTTACAATATATTAAACAATAACTGCACTGGAACACAAGACGTCACTCACTGAAAATGTCAAGAGTTAACAATTGTATGCCAACACACAAGAGCAAAGCCGAAAGAGCCAAAAAGAGCCGAAAGAGCAAAGCTCAACCCCCGCCAACACAACTAGGTGAATACACAATTCATTTTGTTCAACAATTGTTGTGTTACAAAGTAAGTTACTTCTAAGCCTCGTCACGAGCCATAAAATACCACACATGCAATTACTAGTGCTCAGCTAGCATGAACTTTACCATTATTAAGTGTTAATATAATTATTGCTTCTTTACTAGATGCACAGTCATAGGCTGGCTGAGCTAGAATGGTCTCGAGGGCTGAGGTGAGCCACTATCATAACACTGCACATTCCTACTGAAAGGTCACTCGGTGAAAATTATGACCCCCCGTCGCGTGTCCATTGCTTTCTCACCAACTCTAAAACATCGGCAAATCAGTGTTTGAATTTGGTAGAGGTCTCAATTATTCTTAGGTGATGACACTGAAATCCAATTGTTTCATTAATATACTGATGAGCAAGCTAATCTCCATTTTCTTTTTTGTAATGCTCAGCATGAGTTGACAGAATTGAAATTTTCCACTTTCCTCATTTTAGTCTCGTGTTAGACAAAGTGCCATTTCGTGTCTTAAAAATTCCATCACAAATGTTGTACATTTGACAACCGGATGTGGGTTTGACACAATACTCACATGTTTATATCCAATTAATCGCACAGTGCTTGTTTAAATTTGTTTGAATGTCGGTTGTTTTTTTGGTTAGTGTGTTACTAAAAGCCTTGTTTGTCTAGCAGGGTCGGCACCTCTTCTCAGCGGAGTCTCTGCCGGACATGAAGGATTGGGTCAAGAAGTTACAGGCAGCGCTGGAACAAATACGAAACAACAATCGACCTGCGATATCGACCTCCACGAAGGAGAGCATAAAGAGGAGGAAGGAGGAGAACCTAGAGAACAAGGATAAAGGCCAGAATAAGGAGAATCAACAAGGCGTCGCCAAAGAGAAGAAGAAGAAAAAGACGGAAGTGAGAATAATGTTGGGGAATTATCTTCCCTAGGGGTACATCGTTTATGTCTAACTACAGACGTTACCATTCATTAACCACTTGGGCCGGACGGTAGAGTGACGGACTCGCTTCATGCAGGTCGGCGTTCAATCCCCGACCGTCCACAAGTGGTTGGCTACCATTCCTTTCCCACCGTCCCATCCCAGATCCTTATCCTGGGCCCCTTCCAAGTGCTATATAGTCGTAATGGCTTTGTGCTTTTCCCTGATAATTCCCTCCCTCATTAACTCAAGCTAAACAGCATACATACATACATACATACATACATACATACATACATACATACATACATACATACATACATACATACATACATACATACATACGTACATACATACATACATTGTGTGATGTTTCAGATTGTGTTTTATCGTTCCCCGTCCCTCCAGCTTTCACCCCCCCCCCTCCTACAAACACCCTTGTCAAAGTCGTCAGTCACCAGCAGGTCCATTTCATTGGTTTGCAAAATTATTTGAAGAGCCTGGATTCTATGACTTTTATGTCACTTATAAATGATGAAGCAATATTAGGAATTATTGCGTTATCCAAATTGTCACATCGGAATAAATGCCAAAATGGATACATCATTTAGTTAATTAAAATTAGCGAGGAATGCTGTAAAAAAAAAAGTGTTGCGATATTGGTCCCCGTACTTTAACGCCCATCATAGTGTGTTAAGATTGCCAGAGCTGGCCTGCCTCATTATGGTTTAATCTTCTTTTATGGTCATTGAAATTACATGACGCGATAGCGAATGGTGTCCGCTGTTAAACGCACATGTTGTGGCCGTAAAGATGGCCCATTCTCATGCTTTTATGTCTACTAAAAAACAGGCTTGCATGTCTGTGTCCACAGCATTTTGTGCGGGAACAGGTGGCTACGCTTTCGTTCCTGTAGGCTGTTAAGGCAGACCTGGGATCCTGTCTGCCTCTGTCCTCCGGTGTCCAGGCGCCGGTCGATTATTTTTACCGGAAAAGCGAGAAAATGGGCTGAGTTACGCAGGGCAAACTGCTCGGTCATTATTAAATGGAACCACATTCAGATGCCTTTATAAGAGATTTGTAATTGCATTTAATTAGGTACTTCACAGACTAGTTCTTTACGTATGTTGTAACCTTTAGTTTCATTTAATTCGATATTTTTAGGATTTCTGAGCTTATGGGAGTGTGAAGATAGGGCTTGGCTGCGGGAAGGAGTGCTCATCATTTCATAGTTTCTTACCTCTATAGGTTAAAAATAGCCGGGGATCTAAGACCTGAGCCTGTCTAAGCCATTGAACGCAAATGCAGGTTTCTAAGATGCTTCTCATTTAGGTGTTTTACTGTGTGTGAGTCGAATGTGTGTTCCCTGTATCTCTTGTTTCAGAAACCGTTTCTTTCCTATTAAGGGAAAGCAAGTACAGTATCAAGCATTATGCTAGGCTGGAAAGCACAAGCGATTTGAAAATATTGAGCATTGTGGTGGCATCTTAAAGGTGCTCTATTATGCGAACTCTGACGTCTGTCTTCATTCCTAGATCTTTTGTATGTCATTTCCTTTCCTGTGATTTGTTTGCATTTTGTATCCTGCATCCAGTTGAAGTTCTTCATTCTTTCCACACATTATTGGAATTTATCACTGTTGAATGCCATTTTTTTACGTTGTCCATTACGAGGTATCACAATTACATCTTTACATCTTTTTACAGTTTTTGTGTCTTTTACTAATATTCCAAAGGAAGATACAAAGGTGTAATTCGTAATTTTTTTCTATATCTGACCTGGGAATAAGTGAGTAGTAGTGTGGTAGATATTCCTAATATCTGAGGAATAAAGGTTTTTACTTTGCTTGGGCTTGATTTTGCTTGGTTTACTGTTTCTCTTTATGTCCCATTTGTCAGGAAATTGACAATGAGGCCCATCGCCTCACATTGACTGTTATTCCTCTGAACTTCATTTATGTTCAGATATATATATATATTTTTGTACTTTCAGGATTTCACCAATTTCTTTGTTATCCTTTGTTCTCATCCAAGAGAACAAAGAGAATTCTCTTTGTATATATGAGTTCAATATTGGAAGTTTTTTAATTTGATTTTGCAAATGTGAATTTGTATTTCTTTATATCTCACATGCAGCTTTTTTGCTCCATTTTCATTTCTTCCATGTATTTACATATTTGTGCTTGTGGGGTTTGGGCTTTGGCTCTTTGGTCCCGCCTCTCAACTGTCAATCAACTTGTGTACAGATTCTTGAGCCTATTGGGATCTATCAAATCTACATTTGAAACTGTGAATGGAGTCTGCCTCCACCACATCACTTCCTAATGCATTCTATTTGTTAACTACTCTTACTACTTACTTACTACTCTTATTCTATTTAACTACTTCTATTAACTACTCTACTTGTCAGAATTGTCTGACACTGACAATTCTTTCTAAGGTATCTGTAGTTCATTTGGGTATTAAGTTTCCACCTGTGTCCCCTTGTTCATGTTCCTCCCATGCTAAATAATTTGTCTTTGTCTACCCTGTCAATTCCTCTGAGAATTTTGTAGATGGTGATCATGTCTCCTCCTACTCTTCTGTCTTCCGGGGATGTGAGGTTTAGCTCCTGTAGCCTTTCCTCATAGCTCATACTGCTCAGGTCTGGAATATGTGGTGTGATAGTGTTAGCTACTGCTTCTATGCAGAAATATCACTGCCCCCCCCCAAAAAAAAAAAAAAAAATTACATCCTAATATCCTCAACTTCCAGGTTAGACTATTTTTTCTTTGTTGAGGTATGCATATCTGCTTGAGCATTTCAGTTATTTTCCTTTTTTTGTAGTTATATACCAAATTCTCATTCGAAAGCAGTCCAATTTTTTTTTTCTCAAAAGAATCATACTTCAGGCAGATCTTCGTCAGTCTATTGTGCTATTCCATGCAAGGGAATTTTGGTATTTAGCACAGTTTTCCTTGAGACTTTTGTTAAATCTATCTTCCCAATCAATACCATTACTGTATTGTTGAAAATGTATTGACAGTACAGCCCTTCCCACTTATTCAGTGAACATTTACAAGCGTGGATCATTGAGCATTTAAAACTATCATTCCTGACACCGGATGAAGTATCTAGTGGTGATTGGATATATCATCTGCATTTGCATCTCATAATGGCAGATGCACTTGAACACATTTTGTGAATAACCTAAAATATGAAACTAATAAAAAGTAAGACCAGGATTCAAAATTTTGTTCTATGGTTAGAAATTTATGAAGACATCATATATTATGGCAACTCAAAATGAATTGTATATAGTTTTTGTATTATTAAAATATTCACTTCTAAGTTTTTTTTTTGTATATATGGAAAGAACAATTCTTTTAGAAAGAAATTATGTATTTTGGCAATAAAGCTTATTGGTTATATATACATTATTAATAATGATAGTATTGGCTACAATGGTTATGAAGGCATATGAGTTAGTTGGACCATATGTTTTATTAGAAATTGATATTATAACATTTAGTATATTTTGTATAAGGTGATTTTTGGTTTTGTAATGGCATATCACAAATGAGAGTCACTTTCTTACTAGAAATGTAATAAAAACATAAATATAGTTTTATTTAGCAACATTTCATTCAAGACAGGAAATGAGCTGAAACCAAAAAAGTCTTTCATTAGGTGACTAACTTCTCGATGCAGACAAAAGTTTCAGCAGCAGTACCTAGCTAGCTTAGTAGCCCATTTGCCTCGGTAATTTCTTGGCCTTGACAACCCTGTCAATTTTGTGCTGGAATCTTATACAGTACTGTATAATTTCTATAATTTATAGAAAAAATCCTCAGTTAATTAATTACATAACTAGATATTTAATCTGCAGGAATCCCATCGATCTCGCAAATCAGGCGTGTCCTCGGAGATGCAGACCCAGACAGTTGAGTCAACATCAGTGACATCAGGACAGGAGGCAGAGTTGCAAATGATGACATCATTGAAAGGAGGTGTACAACTGCCAGGACTAACATCACACAAGGGCATTCAACTGCCTGGACTTTCAGCCAAGAAAGAGCTGCAGGATGCAAAAGTGACAGAGACTTCTGAAGCAAACAAGGAGGAGCTGCCCATGTCTGGTCCGACACTGCTCTGTGTCACAAAACAGCGGGTGAAAGGGCCACAAGGTACTACTTGTGTATGGGCAAAAGGGAAGGCTTGCAGGTCTGCTGTGTAAAATATAGCTAGTGTTTATGTGTAAAATATTGGACAACGAGTGCTGTTCAAATGCAAGTGCTATGCACCTGCATGAATATTCCCCCCCCTCCCCCCCTAGTGTTAAGTAGCATAAGGATCTTTCACTGTCATCAAGCTGGTTAACTTTTTTCCTTCTTTCCAGGTCGACGTGCACCACAGAACCATCGGCGCACCTTGGCTGCTAATGCACTCAAGAAGCGAGCCAGTTCCCTCTCGGCGCTGGAGTACCAAGACCTCAATGACAACAGGTCAGAGTCTAGTCAGGGTCAACTAAGCTCCTCCAGAGACTCCCAAACACCTGATAATGAGGTGGAGGAGGTGGAGGAGAGTTCTCAAGTGAGGCAGGTCCAGTTTGATGACATTGATAATGATCTTTTCTTCAAATCTAGAATGAGAGAGGGGGGTACAGGTGGGGAAAATGTGGAAGAGGAAAAGGCAGAAATAGAGTCAAAGATAGGAAAAAGGCGTTCGTCAACCTTGAAAGTAAATTTTGATGAAGGGGAACATCGTAGATCAACTTCACGGTCAAGAAATGGTACTTTATTAAGTAATAAATTATCGCGCTTCAGGGAAACTATGATATCCATGAAGAGAAGCAGATTTGAGAGTAAGGAGCCTCTAGGTTCCAACCATCCTGATGATATAGACAACTCCCGCTGGAATTGCAGTATCTTATAACACATGTTACAACTTGATTTGACTCCTTCTGAATATGAGCTATTTTTTTTAAATAACTCTTCTTGTATTGATACCTACTATGTACATGCAAGAAAATTAAAATAATGCCTGTGTCAGCAGCAATTTACAAAAAATCAGTTGACAAGGGAGGTGAATCAGTAAACACATTTACAGGGATCTTCCATATTTTTATGATACTTCCTTTAAAATAGTCATTAACAACAGTTGTACCACAAACAAATACGTTCAGAACTACTAAACTACACATTATATGGAAAAGTACAAAAAGGAATGAGTTAGAGAAATAAAAAATTATTAACATTTACGATTAATGCTGTAAATGGCAAATGCTTTTAAGGATTAATTTGAGAGATTTCCAGTTAAAGTAGGGGGTGCTGGAAACATGTTTTTGGAGTTGCTGAATGAAACTTTTTAATGCTCTTAATTTGGAAAATTTGACCATAGTATAGATATGAGAGCAAATAAAATAGAAGACCCTTATATCAAGAATTGTATACCAGTTGGTATACAGTATTAATATCTGTACGCAAACCTCACTGGTAATAGATTCTCATAATAGGAATGCAAAATGGTATTTTAAATATACGTGCAATCTGCTATCAGCAGAATGAACAGTAGTCATATTTTTCACATAAAATTAGAAACGTACCATGACGTGCCTTAATGTGATTGACCAGAAGGGTCTAATCCTTTCAGGTCGTGATAACAGTAATATGACATATGTACAGTATATGATATTACAGTATATACAGATTATATAATATGTATATGTTCATACACATAGGTATATGTGTATGGAATTTTCTTAACTGATCTCCTGATCACACCAGTAATGCTTAGGTTATTTTCATTTATCTCATTGTGTATATATTAATTACGGATAAAAAACACTAATATTTTGTGATCTAATCATAATCTCTACAGCCTTATTTACATGCAATGTGGCCTAACATGGGCCATGCCTGCGAGTCTTAGTGTAGACAGTCTGTTTCTGAAGGAAGCTAGTCTGCCTCTGTGAGAGGTTCTTGTGGTATCAAGACTTTCCAGAGGAGTTTTTAAAGGCCAAGGACAATGCTCCCAAGGGTCTCTCAAATCCTTAACTTGAAACTGAATACTTAATATGAACAATCAGCACTCAGAGGGATAGTTTAGTACATCACACCATGTTTGGTTTAAAAATTATAGTACAGTATTATCAATTATTTGTTTTCTTCAGGAGTTTATATATAGTCAAGTAAACAAGCAAACCTTGTTACATCAATCAATTCAAATGTTATCAAAGACTCATTGAATATTTTGAATAGGCATACGCTACATACATGCAATGGACCATTTTATATTGCCTATACGTATAAAAACACGTTTGAGAGCTTCAAGACTTGTCCTGAAACCTTCCATGATCTTTGGTGAGAAATCCAAGTGTTGTGGAGTGTTACAGCCACCTTGTTCACAGCGTCTATTTTGTAGTGTGGTACTGAAGCCTTACTTGTTGATGCAGGAAACGATTTGCGACTGCTCTCGGCTTTAAAATATAAGAGAATATAATAGTTACAAAAATCTTATATCATGCATATAAATATATATTTACTATAGAGTATAGTTTAAATATTGAAATGATATTCGTTATCGTTTTAATCTATGCATTACCCATGTCTGCAGCAGGCTTTCCATAGTTCATCTGGGTTATACAACTCAAGGATCCTAGGCAGAATATTGAGTGTTTCTGAGTGGTGTATATTGTATTATATTTACAAATACATATACCAAATGTACACATACGTGTGTGTGTGTGTGTGTGTGTGTGTGTGTGTGTGTAATTACTTGAGTGTAGTTACAGGATGAGAGCTACACTCGTGATGTCTCGTCTTCCTAGTACAGTACTCTTTGTCATGTAACACTCTGAAATTACCAACGGTTTTGGCATATATCGCCATCTCATTTAACTTGTTCCAACCATCTACCACTCTACTGTATTTTCAAAAGAAAAGTTTCTAATATTTTTTGGCACCTTTGTTTCCTGAGCTAGAATCTATGACCTTTTGTTATGAAATTTCAGATTTCAAGAATTCCTCTTTTGTTCTTTGTGTGTGTGTAATTACTGTACCTAAATGTAATTACTGTACCTAAGTGTAGTTACAGGATGAGAGCTATGCTCATGGTGTCCGTCTTCCCAGCACTCTTTGTCATATAACGCTTTGAAAGTACAGACAGTTTTGGCCTCCACCACCTTTTCAGCTAACTTGTTCCAACCGTCTACCACTTAAAGTGAAAAGTTTACAAAAGTGAATTTTCTTATATTTCTTCTGCATTTTTGTTTAGTTAGTTTAAATCTATGACCTCTTGTTCTCGAAGTTCCAGGTCTCATGAAGTCTTCACTATCAATTTTTTTGATTCCTGTTACTATCTTGAAGTTTGTGATCATATTGCTTCTTTTTTCTTCTATCTTATAGTTTTGGTATATTTAATGCCTCTAACCCCTCCTCATAGCTCTTGTCCTGTATGTGTGTGTGCGTGTGTGCACGCGTGTGTGCATGTGCGTGCACGCACGCGTTTGCAAAATATCAAGAATGATCTTTTAAAGGTTACTGAAATTTGTTGCAACTCAAGACAAAGTTTGAGCATCATTTCTCCATTGCTTGGTGCTTTGTTGATGCAATTCACAGCATTTTTCCTGTTTCCTTAGTGACCAGTTTTGTGGGCAATGAATTCATGGACGAAAAATAGCATTTGATGTTCATGTTGATGAACAACAATGATAAAAAGCCAAAATTCCTTCAATCACCACTTTCTAAACTAATTTTCAGTTTCTGCTCAATAAAAGTGATCATTCAGTTATAATGAACAAAATACTGTTCATAAAAATTCTCGCTTTGCGCGTTCAACATCTTATATTAGTGTTATATGAGTGTTATTTCTAGTCACTGTTTCACATATAAAAAAAATAAATACACAAATCTTCAACACAAACCCAGATCATCCATGTCACAAGAGAGTGGAGTCCTTTTTACATATTGTAAACTAGCTTCACTTTTGTAGTGTGTATTGTTTAAGTTAGAAACAAATTTTTTTTTTGCTATCAACTGCCAGTAATATGCTTCTTCAGTGGAAGGAACAGGTTTTAAATTGTGCCTTTGAACCCGGAGAGCAGAGTGCCTTAAGACGTCTTTAAAATACCTGTAGATGTACTGAATGTCTTTCAAATTTTTTGAAATGGGTAACTGAGTGCCTTTAAAAGATTTTGAAATGGGTATTCTGAAGGTCTTGAAAAGCTTTTATATTAGGTAAAATATGTGCCTTTGAACATTTTTGAAAAGGACATAAAAGCATGATGAATGAGAATGTAATGTCTCAACTGAAAGAGAAAATAACATGGCTCTGAAGTAACAAATCAGAGAGTATACTGTATATGTAATTAGGAGCCCTGATTAATGTTTAAAAAAGAAAGAGTAAACTATACTTGGTGGATATTTGTATACTCCTAGAGAAGTGATTATCGTTATGGCAACGTTTATACTCAAGAAAATTGGGTTATGCCATATTTAAAGAGAAATGATTATGATCGGAAAGATGGTCATACGCAGAAGGTAATTTGCAATCTGATTAAGAATGTATATTGAGGGATGGATAAACTTGAATGAAGGCAGATTTATCTTGGGAAAATTTATGCATGAGAAAGTGTTATTCAGTAGTTGGGTATACAGGATTGAAAGAAAGTCATTTTGGTTACGGTTAAGAAAATGTAACCGAGAGAGAAGGGTTTATCTTTGAGAGTAGTAATAAGTTTAGCAAGCAGTTAAAGTTTGAAAAGTAGTTAAATGCATAAAAGCTGTTATACTCTGGGGATATATTATATTCTGGTTTGTGGTCCACCGAGAAATGTTAAATACAATATAGTATGGGGAAGGTGGTTATTGTCAGTAATAATTATAACTGAGCAAAGGTAATAATACTCAAGAGAGGTGGTAAAATTTTGGGAGAGGTGGCTACAACTTGGGAGGGAGTTTTACTTGGCGACAGGATACACAGTGATGCTCATTGCTGGCGGTTATAATTGTGGCTCCCAGTTTGATATACCACATATGTTACTCACAATGAGATCTGGCATCTCGGCACACTGTAATGAAGAGATACTGCATGTACACCAAGAAGTGAACCCCACTTCTTGCTGTATATGCACAGAGTTTACACTAATCCTGAATAACTTTTAGGACTAAAGTACACTTCCTAGTTGGTCACAAGATATTGCGATGACATTATTAATGCTCCCACTGTTGATGCCTCGAGACCAACACCAGGCAAAACTGTGTACATGTTGTTGCTTGTGCTCCAGTATCAGTCTTGTCTGCTTGCTGTTTTGTGCTGGGTAATGCATGGTGATGATGCTGCCAAACGATTATATCTTGTCAAAAAGGGTTTATGGAAAAACACACACACACACACACACACACATGTAGGGGCCTGACAGCTGAGTGGACAGCGCTTCAGATTTGTAGTCCCGAGGTTCCGGGCTCAATCCCCTGTGGAGGTGGAAACAAATAGGCATAGTTTC